TTTCTTTTCGATTATAGTTTCTTTCTTTAATGCTATTGATCTAGTGTCTTTTGTTGGTTGGTCCTTTTGCTATGCAACCAAACAGTGGTTGTATTTTGCTTAGTTGAATAATAATTTTAATTTAGGCCATGTATCTTTGATTAGCAGTTATTACTGTTTGACTAATTCCTGGACAGTTCAAACCCAAAATACAATTTTAGCTTAAGAATAGATTAAGGAGCAATTTATTAATGCTAGTCAACCTCGTTGGTTCTCTTGTCTTAAATTTTCATAATAGAATTCTAACTAATAAAACTATCCTACACCTTAATGGCATGCTTCCTCATGGGAAAAATGCATCTCTCTTCTTCTCCCTTTTCGTCTTCAATGATAACAAACCAAAACAAAAGAAAAAAAAAACCCCATATTTAAATGAGACTGAGTTATTGAGTTATTCCATAAATTATCCAAATGAGACAGATAGGATGTCCGGCTTCCAGATCACCGAGCCGTATTTAAGATTTTGTGATGTAGCAGCAAAATAATAGTGTTAATCGTTTACATAATTCATAGTTAGACTCTTTCCATAGAAAAGAAACTAGAAGAGACTGCCATACTTGGGGAGGTAGAATAGCCTAACTAGAGTCTAAGATTTAAGTCGACCTTGGATGATTCAGATGATGTTTCTGGTTGTTGTGGATCAAAGCGAAAGCTGCCCGGCCACATCGAATCCATTGCATCCTCTAGTGTGAAAGGCATCCATGCCATACCAAAGCCTGTGTTAGCATCACTAAATCTTGCTACAGTTGCAGTTCCATCTCTGTGCGTCTTTTGCACCAGAGAATGAGCTTGAACACCTAGTGATCGAACCATGTTAGTGTTGATAGGCAGACCCATAGTTGACATCATCCTGTGGGGATGATATGTCCTGGCTGCACCTCTCTCCCTCTTATGTGCATTCTGGTGGCCGCCTAGTGCCTGGGAACTGTAAAACTTTCTCATGCAGAAGTTACATGAGAAAACTTTGGTGGACGCTGGTCTTGATTGCAAGTCAGAAGAGTGTCCATTTGTTGATACCGAATTCCCACCAAGGCTTAGGTTCAGCCACTCTCCTAGATTTTTCTCTTCCATTGCTTTAAAACATGTTTAAAACTGAGTTATGAATGTACAAAACAACATTTTTCATTCTTTTGGCACATTTGATCTGAGTTATCGTCTTCAATTTTTTTTTTGTTTTCTGTTTTCATTGGTTTGAATTTGTTGGTTACAGTTTTATCATTTTATCACTATGGATCAAAAAAATTTATCCAAATGTTTATTTCAATTTTTTTTTGTTTTCTGTTTTTATTGGTTTTAATTTGTTGATTATAGTTTTATCATTTTATCACTATGGATAAAAAAAAAATTATCCAAATGTTTATTTTCCATTTTTTATTAGTTTTCTCTGTTTTCATTGCTTTTAATTTGTTGGTTACAGTTTTATCGTTTTATCACTATGGATAAAACATGGATAAACTCGAAAGAAACCTCAAGTCCAGATTACATAGAAGGAATTTTGAATTTTGTAAATTTTACATTTGAGAAATCTGCAAAAGTTGGGAAAATATTGTGCCCTTGTAGGAGATGTGCAAACTTAATTTGGTGTAGTAAAGAAGAGGTTGTTGATCATTTAGTAGAAAAGGGTTTTCTTAGAAATTATAACTGGACTTCTCATGAAAAGGATTCTGCAGTGGTGAATTCTAGTGAAAATCGAAATGAAGAGGAAATAGCTTTTAATCATGATATGAGAGGGTTGCTACAAGATGCTTTTGCAGGGGTTAATATGGAAGATAGCATCCCTAATGAGGTTGTAGATAGTTTCAATTCTGGAAGGGAGGGTTTAAACCAAGAACCTTCCATGTCTGGAAATGATATGGATGGCTTTTTTAATTTGTTGAAGGATGCTGGGCAGAAACTATACCCCAATTGTGAAGAGAATAAGTTAGCTGCTGTTGTGCATTTATTTCACCTAAAATGTTTAAATGGGTGGAGTAATAAGTCTTTCACTCAATTATTAGAGTACTTGAGCTTCTTGCTACCAGAAGGGAATGTGTTGCCTAAGTCTTATAGTGAAACCAAGAAAATCATTAGAAGTTTAGGCTTAAGTTATGAGAAAATACATGCT